AACTTTTTCTTAGAGTTCTGATTTAATTGCTTTATTTCAAAAGAATGTAGTAGAATTATGGAAATATTCGGATATTACTTTAAAGTTTATTGGATCTTAAGTATTTGAACTCCCAATTAAATAGTTTAGTTTTATTAATGATGATAAACAAATTATTATATTAAATGCAAACTCAGAGTTATTGGTATGTAATATAGATTGTTTTTAATTGGAATAAACATTTGAATAGAAGTTTGATTGTGGTGCAATATCTTCCAATGATATGATTGCTTTATCATAAAACCTAGAGATAAGTATTTTTAGTAATGAATTTGAAAAATGCAATTTTTCTTTTAAAGTAAGTTCAGAAACGAGATCTTTAAAATTTCTTAACGATAAATAAAATGTATTATTGCAATTTGATGATTAAATGATTAAATTTTGGGATTATGAAAAAGGATAACAGATATCTGGAATAAAGATTAATGAAAAGGTCATGCCTTAGTTGTATTTATAGAATGAAATACTAATTTTATAAGGTGAAAACTATGTAAGAATATGGAATCTTAGTGATTTACTAAACGTTAAACTTTGTGGCTATCATGAAGGAATTAATTCATTCTCTATTTAAGAAGATTAATAACTTGGAGCAGGGATTAAAGGTGGATAGTATATTAATATCAAAGTTATATTCAATATATTATTTGCATTTCCAATTAATTAAGATCAGTATATTAAACAAATGCTCATGTCCATTAAATCATAATTCTTAATTATTTTATCATATACAAGAAAGCTTTCTCTGTTGGAATTAGATAGTAAATAAATAGTTTCATTTAATGGAGATGTAAATGCTGTAGCATTGTGCTAAGAAAACAATTTTATTGTCGTTTAAACAGAATCAAAAATTTAATTAGCCGAATATTCTAATGGTAGCATAAATATTATTGACACTTTTGATTTATAGAATAAACTTAATGATTGCAGTATTAAATTTACAAACAGTGGATATGATTTCTCATTAAGCTCGTATTATATGATTAGAATATTTTCAATTACAAAAAATTAAAAAATTATATGTAAAGGAATGCAATATCAGTTAGAGAAGAATTATGCGATTAAAGATCCTTATTTAAAATAAGCTTAAATATTTTAAAGATAGGGAATACCCAACAAATAATTACTTTTAGCCATTTTAGATCAAGAGAAAAAAACATTTAGAATAGTTGACACCTAAAAGTCAAAATAAATTGTATTGATAAGGGGTAAATTATATTACAATTGTTTCCAATTAAGCTTAGATGAAGAAATAATTTGCTTTGTTAATGATTATATGTAGATGTCTATTTTGGAGAATAACAATTTTGTATTAAAATAAATAGAAAATTTGAAGATTGAAGGATTTTCAAGATCATATTTGAAAGCAGTTGGAAAGGATTCATTTGTGTTTGTTAATAATAAAAACTAAATCATGCTATTTTCAACATCATAATCTTCTAAAACTCTAATTGGAACAACTAAGAAAGACATCAATTGCATGACATATTTGCCTTTATAAGAATGGTTAGCAATAAGCACAGAAGAGAATAATATTATGTTTTGGGATGTGAAAGCAAAAAAGATTGTTGGAACTCTGAAAGGACATTAAAAAAAAATAAATGCTATTTCAGTCTCATAGGACAGTAGCATTCTAGCTTCAGCAAGTGATGACAAATTAATTAGGCTTTGGAATATTGGGTAAAATGAATCATCGGAAGCTTAAATAGCCCATTAATATTCGATAAGTGCACTAGCTATTTCTCTAGACGGCTTTTTATTAGCATCTGGTAGCATAAAAGGTGGAGATGCTGAAGTGCCTATTATTATGTGGGATCTTAAGGAGAAAAGGCTTATAACACAATTAAAAGGACATAAAGATTCTATTACTTCTTTGTAATTCTCTTATTGTTCAAGATATTTGATTTCAGGGTGCAATTATGGAACAATAATCTTTTGGAACATTGAATATCCATAAGCTACCAAAATGTTATATATATTAGATGAGTTTAACTTTCCTATAAATTCCCTTAGCTTTTCACCGAAAGAATAATAATTTGTCTCGTTCTCTAAAGTTGATAATCTATAACAATGGAATTTCAAATAAATTGGCCAATATCAAAAAGAGAAGCCTATAATTTTAAATACTAATTCAAAGTGTTATAGTTTTTATTAATAAAATGAATTTATTTATGTTAAGTAAAATAAAGATTAGATGACAATCCTAAATGTAGAAACTAAAAAAGAATAAGTGTTAGAATAAAATTCAAAAGTCACTTAAATAATACCTTCAAAAGATGGTAGATTAATCTTGTGTTTGGAAGGATAAGGAGTATTGTATATTTGGTAAAAAGACAAGGATAATAATTGGTTCAAAACATGGATTTATTTGTCATAATCGAATTTTATTTTACTTTCTCCAGATAATTAATTTTTATTTTAAGCAAAAGATTGTACTACTTAAGAACAACCACTATTCTCGGATGCAGTTTCAAACAATTTTAGAACATTGCTTCATGATTTTTCAAAACTGCAAAGTATTGAATAGAGAACAAACTAAAAATTAGACATATCTGAATAACTAGACATTGCTTTTTCTATTGACTTAGCTCAAACAGCAATCTTAAAATCTTAAGAAATTAAAATATTTGACACAATGAATTGGTAGTGCATATAAGAATTCAAAGGATTTTAAAATTCTAGATCACCATAAATTTCTAGGGATAATAAATATCTAGCATGTTCTTAGGATATTCAGCAAATAACCAAAGAAAAATACAATAATGTCATTACTTTATGGGAAATTAATAATCCAACTATTAAGAGATAACTAGAAGTTAAAGATTAGAAATTAAAAATATATTAATTTTCTACTTAAGATTCAAATAGAATATTTGCTTTATATACTGATGGATCAGTTCGAGAATGGAATGTTACTACACAATTACATAAAACTATAGTGACTCTACCTGAAACAATCAAAATTGATGTTGTTCAATTTTCTATCAACCTTAAATTCTTAATATATTAGAGTTAATCTAACTCACAATTAGAATTGTGGAATTTCCAAACAAATGAAAAATCCTCTTTGTCTGTTGGAGAAGCATTTTCTCTAATTGGTTGTTCTGAAAATGAAGATATGATTGCTGTTGCTATTAGATAAGGTGTGAAGGTTTTTAAAGGAAAATAAGAGTCTATGATCTACGTTTTCGATGATTTAAATATATATAATGTTTCATTCATATAGTTTTCACATGATGATAAGTAATTGCTATTTTGCCATGATAGCACAATATACCTTTACTAATTAGAGGAAACATTAAAAAGTACAATTCTTGGATGTTGGAATGTACAATCTTTAATTCTTAGCTGTACCTTTAATTCTAGGAAATAAGAAATTGCTCTAAGGCTTAGTAATTAAGTATAAGTCTTAAAGCTGTATCCAACTATTCATAAATCTGAGTTATTAGGTATAGAAAATTAAAATTGTACTTGCTTTTCACCAGATAGTAAATATTTGGCAAGCTTGACTTCTTCTTTGTAAATTTTGGATTTATAAAATCTTTAAATTGTTCATAAATTCCAAGATTTTTCAGGAGAAATCATTTAATTTTAATCATCGGAAATCTTAGTTATTGGAAATAGGAATAAATTATAATTCTTAAAAATCAATAATATATAGAAAATTGTATAAATTAAAGAAATTAAATTTTATAACAAAATAATCGATATGGCTCTCTACTTTAATAATTTATTAGTTTAAGTAAAAGATGATTTCAAACAAATAAAAGTTGTATTCAATAATATTGATAAGTTTGTAGAAAATTTATCTAAAGCAGTTTATAATTCAAAAGGTAAACCATTTTTCTCAGGAAATGGTAATTACTTTGCTTTAAGCAATCAAAACATCATTGAAATCATGAATATTAAAAATATCAAATAAGAAAAATGCATATAATTAAATAGGTAGATAAATTAAGGCTAAATATTCTATTCAAATAATGGCAACTTGATATTAGTTATTTTTGACTAGACCATATAACTTTTTGACACTATAAGTTTCAAAAAACTGAAAGAAATCAAATTAGATTTTCAAGTCAGCCAATCAGAATTTTCATAAAATCAAAAATATTTGGCCTTGATGTGTTCAAGCAGCGTGTAAATTTTTGCTTTTCATGATTAAAAAGATCTACTTCAATTTTGGACTATCAAAGGAGATAAAAATAATATTAGCTCTATAGCTTTATCACCAAGAGGCGATTTTCTATTAACAGGAGGTTAAAACTAAGTAGATTTCATAAATTCAATTGCTTTATGGAAAGTAGAACAGTCGTAATAAATTTGCCTGAATGATAAAATAAACGATGAAGTAAAAGTACTAAAGTTTTGTCCTGATGGTATTAATTTTGTAGCAGGTCTTTCGGATGGCTCTGTTCATTTATATTCTATTGATCCTAAATAAACAAATTTTGTTAAAATGAAGACTTTTTAATAGCTCAAATTAAATGAGGATATCACTAAATTTTCAATATTTTGTTATAAATCATTTGCCAAGTAATCATTATTGACTGCTCAATAGTCCATTTTATCAGAATCAAGCATAAAATCAGAAAATAAATCTATTATTGAATTGTTTCTCTAAAAAGGAGCATATTAATGAATTAAAATATATATGAAAATTTTTAATAATAAATGAAATAATTTTTAAAACAATTTCTAACCCTGTTAATTATTTTTATTTTATCATCAAAAATATAACCATTCTTTATTAATTATATATTATAATTATATTTGAAAATGAATATAAAAGTTAATTATTTTGTGAATTAATTAAATATTAAGGGAAAAATTCATTAGGATAAACAATTATTTTGAAAATGAATCTTATAATAAATCTAATAATAAATTATGAATATAATGAATTCATATATCAATAAATATACAGTTCTTTTGTAATTTTAAATTAAATATATTTTAAAAGGATCATGAATAATGAATTCGATCCAAACTTGTAAATTTATAAGGATGGCTAAAATAATAGCCCTGTTTCTGAAATGTTGAAGCCTTAGGCACAATAGTCAGAATTTTATTAATTAATTGAATCTCAAGATAATGTAACAATATAATAATTTGAAATTCAATTGAGAGGAGGAGGCTGTGGGTAAGCTAAACCAACGTAAAAAGTGGAAGATAAGTTAATTATTGATGTACCCAAGGATTTATTGATTAAACTAGAAAATTATGTTAACATTATCAATACTAAAGCTCCACTTTTGATTGATCCTTAACAAAGAAATGAAGTAATAATTGCATTTTAATGGTTTATGTATAATAGAGAGCATTTGAATACTTGTTGTGTTAACCAAAATTTAACTTAATCAATATATACAAAATCATTGAATTGTTTTAGGGACTTGCTAAAAATTCTTCCTGTTTATTTAAGATCTTCGTGGTTTTTATGCCATTAAGTTCTTTAAATCTGTAATGACTTTTTAAGGATTATATATTCATTTTAAGTACAAAATGAGGATAGACAAATGGAATTAACTATGCAATAAGAATTTTTATAAGATGTCGAGGAATTTAAGGTATAATTGGGTGTTGAATAAGCAAATGTATGGAATACAGGAATAGAATATGAAATAACTCTAATTAAAATAATGTTAATGAATTGCCAAACAAATTCAGAAGAAAGAAAAAATTTATTAATAAATATTGTTAAAAATGTTGCTTAATCAGCTTTGGCAATGTCACCTACTGAAGACTTAATCCCAAGTCTTATTGAAGGAGCTAAATTTTTATTTTTACAATACAAAGACAAAGTGTTATATCCTGAAGAGGTGTATGCTACTTATTATTTATTCCAAACTCTTAAATGGTCAATTGTGAGGCAATTAAAATCTTAGTACTCAGTCTATAATCAATTGAAATAACTAAAAGATGCATTTTAATAATATATTCTAAATTCAGATAATTGGATCATTCATTATAGTTGGATATCAATGATAATGGATATTTTAGCATATAGACCCATAATTGATAAATTTGAAATAGTAAAAGGTTCTCCAGTAGAATAATAATCAATGTGGAACAATTTAATTGAAAATAACTTAATTCTTTGTCTTCCATATAATAGAAATTAAGGGTCTGTAGTGATATTTCAAAATCAAGTAAAATATTTTAGCAAAGAAATAAACAGTTTAATGGACTAATGGAGTATTCCCAAATTTAAATTAATTTCAGATTCTCTTATAAAAGGTTAATTTTCTCAATAAATTAATCTTTGGAATTTCTATAAAGATTTTACCTTTAAAAAAAAGCAAGAAACTACTATAAAGGAATATGAAATAGTTTTACAAAATAATGATTTATTATTTATAGAGAAGTAAATTGAAAGATTTAATTCTTAGTTAGATGAATTAGTTATACTTTACTAATAAATCTAAGAATTATTTACAGATTATTTTATTTAATAAGATAATACAGTGCTGTAAATCAAATTACTCTAAGATGGTTATACTGTTTTTAGAAAATAGTTTTTAGATGGATATAAATAGGCCTTATATTATCTACTTTTTATAATAGAAAGATCTACTATTGAGTTTGAAAAATTAAAATTACTTTTTCCTTGTTTAGACAAATTTAAGATTGAAGTTTAAGAATAATTAAAAAAGATTTTTTAGGGGATTGAAGAATTAATTAAGGTCAAATTTTAAGCCTTCTAGAAAGACTTTATTTAAAATTTTCTAAAAGTGGTTGAGTATGTGAGTTATCTTTGTGAAATTAGTATAAATCCAATGTCAAAAAAATAAATTTTAGAAGACATAAATTCCAAGTTTTAGATTCAAAATCACATCAATTTTCAATAAAATTCCGAAAAGTCATTAATATTATAATAGTGCTTAATAAAAATAAAGGAATTTTAACAAAAATTTTGTTTCTCAGCATCAAGTATTAAAACGCATGATTACAATATCAAAATTACTCCTTTACAAATATAAGCTATGTCAAACATTATATGCTCAGGTTAATGGATCAAAGTAATAAGACAATAGTTAGTTACTAGTTTTTCAGATAGATTTAGATTGGGTCAAAATAAAGTTACAACTAAAGAGGATATTGAAAATATCTATAGGAATTGTGTTTTTAGCCTTTATATGTTAAAACTTATGAAACAATTTTGCTAAATCCACTAATATAAAATTAACACATTTGACTAAAACTTAGAGTAGGAAAAAAGTTTAGCTATTCAAGAGCAATAAAAGTTTTATTAAGATTTTAAATTAATGTTAATCTAATATTTAACTTAATAAAAGGAAAAACTAGAGTTTATTTTAAAATCAAAAGATATTGATAAAGGTACTAATATTAGTAAAGAAAAAAAAAAATAACTCCTTTAATAAATAAAAGCAGATTATTAGATGATCCAAAGTGAATATGAAAATAATATTAGCTAAGAAACAAAAACAATAAAATTGTAGGTTATTAAATTCATGCAAGAAGCTTAATTGATCACTATATAAAATTAGAATGAATATTATGACTTTGATGCTTTAAACAGTTTAATGGAAAAATATGATAATATTATAAGAGAAATTGAAAATAATTAAGGCAAATTCAATAATAGTCTAGTAGATGAAAAAAAATTGAATTTCTAGCGTTGGATCAGAAAGAATAAGCATTTAGATTTCTGTCATTTTTGTGTTGATAAAGATTTGAAAATGATAAAGGATACTAATAAATTGCTAAAATTATTAGAACAATTTTTAATGTTAATTATTGATTAACTTTAATAACCTGATAATGAAGAAATTAAAACTCATATCAATAACTTCAATACATAATTGTAACAAATAGAAGCTAAATTTAACATTAACAAATCAATTGCTTCTTTTATTGAAAGTTTAAAGGGAAATAGTTAATTAGAGAGTTGCGAATGTATCATTTAAAGTAATTAATAGATTGCTTCATAAAATTAGTAAATTGAACAAGGGAATGATTAATATATTGAGTAAGTTGAATCAACTTTATAAGGAATTTTAGCTTACTTTTAATTAAAATAGTAAAGTACAGATAAAATATCTCAAAATTTAGACCCAACATACTTAAATATAATAAATAACCTTTCTGAATAAGTAACAATAAAAAAGTCAATATTTGATGTATTTGATTTGAGCAATGATTATAAAATTAGAGAATGCTTAGCTTATAATTTAATAAAGCTATAATACGGAATTAAAGAAGAAAAAATAATAGATTTTTCATCAAAACTGATTCAATATCTTTGGGTTTTCGAAAAAGATTAAAGAGTCAGAAATCTATTGAAAAATAAGGAATTAATTGAAATATAAAAACTTTTTTTTTCTAAAGATATCAAGTCAACATCAGAATAAATAAAATAAGAAATTAAATTAAGAATCAATAGCATAGAAAGCATTTCATAAGAATTAAGACTTGAAGGGAATTCTCAAATAAAAGAGCACCTTAAATAATAACTCAAGCTAGCTTATGAAGAACTTGAATAATATAATGATAATATTACTGAGATGTCAGAAAAAATGGATATAAGTTTAATATTTTTGAAGGATATATCAAAAGATGTGAAGTAAATAAAAAGTTAGATTGATAATTTATAAGAGAGTTTAAATTAAGTTGGGGATGATATTCGTAAATTAAAAGGAAAACGATATGATGAATTATTAGAAATAAGAAAATAAAAGATATTATTATAATCTAAATTAGCAGAAGTAGATTCTGTATATGTTTAAGTAAAAACTATTGAATATGATCCTGTTACTGGAGCAAGTATTAAATCCAAAGATGAAGTAGCAATAACCAATTTAATGTGTGAATAATGGAATGATTTTACTGGAGAAGTTAATGAATTTATTTGGGATGAGTCTAAATAAAATGATGTCATGTTACTTTCAGGAAATGCTGGTTCTGGTAAAAGTAAAGCAGCTAAAAAAATAGAAGAATTTCTATGGAAATAGAAAGAAATTAATTCTAAATGGATTCCTATCTTTGTATCACTCCCAACTTTAAAAAATCCTAAATATAATTTATTTGAATAAGCTTTAGAATCTGAGAATTATTAATTTGATAAATATTAGCTTAGAGAATTTAAAGATGCTATCTAAAATAAAAAAGAATATATCATTTTAATACTTGATAGTTATGATGAAATGAAATAAGATTGTATCTAATAAAATCTAATTATAACGAATAAGTTAATTAATGATTTGAATATTGATGAAAATTAAAAATAAGTCAAGATAATCATCACAACCAGAAAAGAAATATTAAACACTTTGGGTTATTAAACTTGGTTTTATGGGAATAGCATAAGGAGTTTAAAAGAAGTTTAGATCTAGGATTTTGATAAAGCTTAAAAAAGTAATTATTTAATTCAATATGCTGAACTTAGTGTAAAGAGAAAAATAAGAGCAGTATATGATTTCTTGAAATAAATTTCATAATAAAATTTTATATTAGATGAATTTTTAAGAATATGGTATTATGTCAAGGATGAAGTTTATCACAGTATTTAAAATTCTCATAAAGGATTATCAGAATATATTTTTGAAAATTCTTAGAGGGAAGAATTAATCAACAAAATTTTAGAGCATTCTCCATTTAATTATTTAAAGGAGGAATAGATTATAGGGCTCAGGAAAGATTTGTCATCTTTATGGAGTGTTTATAAATTTGAAAAGGCTATCGAAAATGTAGGAATTGCTGATTTATTATCAACTCCCTTCATGTTTGAAATTATTGTTTAAGTCTTACCTAACATGGCAAGAAAATAGTAAGGGTCAGTCGATTTAAAAAACAGATTTTTTTAGAGTTTTCTCAGTATTATATAAAAATCTAGTTTATCTAAAAGTTTAGAAGAGAATTATAAAAATAATTTAGATCATAAAGAAAATATTTAACCAATTTTTGAAGGAAAGAGCCAAAAAATTAAATATTTTGAGTAACTAAATAAACTAGAATTAAAAACAAAAACTGATGAACTTTTAGATTAATTGGAAAGCTTAAAATTTTTTTAATTTTACTCAATTACCAGCATTCTAAAAATTGAAGGCTATAACTTATTTGTTGATAATAAGTCGTTTGGTGTCAATGGTCAAGATATAGAATGTATAATACAGGCTTTAAAGATGAAAAAGTATACAATATTTGAGTTCTATGAGAGCTTCATTCAGTTTTATCATGATTAATAAATTCAAAAGTTGAGAGAGACAGGTAAAATTTCAAATTGGGAAAGTTTTTAAATAGATATATTAGAATTTTCATCTAATTTAGCAATAGAAATGACTAAAAACTAACTATCTTAAATCACATATTAATAAAAAGGAAAATTGAAATTAACAAATAATTATACTAAAGAATACAACGATGATGTTTGGCTTGATGATTATTTTAATGATTCATAATAGGAACTTGATTATAATAAATTAATAAGAAGTTGTATTCTCTTAAATGCTAAAGGAAGTATCTATTCCTTTACTCACAAATCTATTTAAGAATTTTATGTTGCTAAATATATAATAGAATTGCTGCTATAATCTGGTTCTTAATTTTTGAATGATAACAATTTGGATTAGAAATATGTTACCAGATTGATGGGATCTTTATATAATCAACCTGTATTAAACATTTCAAAGGATCATTTTAAAGGAGTATTAACATTTATCAAAGACAAATTAAGTAGTCTAGATAACATAAAAAGAGTTCTTATTAATCTTGTTAAATTATCCAAAAATGAGAAATACAAATATGCTGCTTCAAATAGCATTTTCTTATTATCTTAATTGGATGTTTATTTAGGGTACGAAGATTTTTCAGAAATTTATTTAACTGATACAAACATCTCAGGTTTAAGTTTTTGTTATGCAGATCTAAGTAAATCTAAATTTACCAATACTAATATTAATTCTTGCAATTTTAATTATGCTAATTTGACAAATGTTGAATGGACAGATGTAAGTTGTAAAGAAAAACCATTTTTAAAAGAAGATGAACCTGTTAGACTAGTTGAATTTTCTCCAAATGGGAAATTAATTGCATCTAATGGAAAAGGCAATTTAGTCAGTCTTTGGGATGTAGAAGATTATAAAATCATATAATAATTTGATGATCATCAAGGTAAAATTTTATCAGTTGCCTTTTCTCCTGATAGTGAAACTCTAGCTTCAGCTAGTGATGATAAAACTATAAAATTATGGGATATTTAGAATCCAAAAATTAAATCGTTGATTTATACAATAGACTATCATGATTATTCAGTCACAGGAGTCAAATTCACTTTTGATGGGAAAAAAATAGTTTCAGTTGATTGTTCAGGAATGCTGATAATTTGCAATTTGGAAGGTATCACAGAAAAACCAGATGATATTATATTTTAGTATGAACAGCAAATATTAGCTTATACTCTGACATAAGATGATTAATTGATTGCATTAGGATTAGAAGATTCTAGCATTAAATTAGTTGAAGTAATTACTAAAAATGATAGGATTTTAATAGGTCATACTGGAAAGATTAAGGCATTAGCTTTTAGTAGAGAAGGAAATAGATTAGTATCTGCATGTACAAACTTATTATTATTATGGAATTTAAGAGATCATTGTAAGTCCTCAGTTTTATCGTTTTAAGAATATTAAATCTAATATTTAACCATACCCAATGAAACAGAAATAGTCATTGGAGCAGAAAACTATCTAGCTTATGGAGAATTTTAGTATGATCATTCTGCCTATTTTGCTAGTATATCATACTCTTATCCTGTTTACTTGTTCCCTAATTCTAACTATGCTGTGATAGTTTAAGTTTAAACAATATTAATCTTAGATCTAAATACTTAAGCAATTATTAATAGTATACATTTTCATGAGGAAATTTCGGAAATTGAAATTGCTAATAATGAATAGAGGTTAGTGATAAGAGCAAATGGTGTAAGATTTTTGGATTTAAATACTTTCTAGGAGGTAATTCTTAATAATAGAAAAAACAAATAATTTTATAATCAGGATTTAATCTTTGAACAATGTTAAAATGAAATTATCATTTATGATAACATGAATTAGAACTTAAATCAATCAAAAGAATATGATTATTTCCATAATATCTAAATAAATTAATTTTCACTCTAAGCTAATTATTAAATATTGGCTATGATTGCTAGCTAATCAAAATAAATATCTTTATATGATTTAAATGGAAAAAACTTGCTGGATAATTAAATTTAAAATTAAAAAAGAATTTCTTATATTGTCTTTAGCCCTCGTAAACCTATTTTATCCACAATATTTGAAGATGGAAGTTTATATTTTTGGAATATTAGCAAAGCTCCTTATGAGAGTTAGAAATTCAATGAAATTGATGAGGGCATTCAAATAGAATCAATCATTTATTCTCCTGATGGCTCATTATTAATTATTTCAACTGATGATGACAAAATTAGAATTTTAGATGAAATTAATGGATCAGGAATAACGATACTTGATTAATATAGGGCCTCCAGGGGGACTATTATAGTATCATATGACAATAATACCTTGGCTATTCAACAAGGATTTATTTAGAATTAAATATTTTTATGGAACTTATACAAGAATGAGGAAAGAGTTTTGGAAATAGAAGATTAAAATTACTACTCTATAATAATTCAATTTTGCCCTGATGGTATATCTTTAGTATGTTTGAGCAATGAAAATTTAAAATTTTGGAATTACAATTCAGGAGAGACGATTATAAATTATTCACTTCCTTCAGATTAAAAATATAATAGTATTTGTTTTTCTAAAAATGGTAATTTATTTTTAACTGGTGGAAATTACATTAGGATTTGGAGATATTTCGAAAAAAAAATTGAAATGATTAATGCTTATAAGCCTCAAAGTTAAATCAACTAATTATAATTAATTGATAATGACCAAAATCTTATGTATCTCATGAATAAACAATTAAAAATAATTCCAATTTCATAATGCAATTTAAAGGGAATAATTCCTACTTTAACGTAATTTGGATCATTTTTAAATAAAGGATACCTTGTTACTAAAGACTATCTTGGTATATATATTTTTGATTGGAAGTTGTAGAAACAAATATCTAGTATCAATTATAATCTTAATCAGGTAGAGTTCTTTTAAGATGTTTTACATTGCATAATTGTAAATAAGAGGAATATTTTTAAATAAAATATTTATTCATAAGTGGAAATCTTTAATATTACTATTTGTGAAGAATGTTATTCACTCAAGCTAAGTAAAAATGATTAGATTCTAATTTTATAATGTGAAAATACCTTAAGAATATTCAATATTGAAGACCCTTTAAACATTTAAGAGATTTAAACTTATACAAATTAGTCTTTAAAAAAATTTACTTGGACAAGTAACAATAATTATATATGTTACCTATCGAATTAAGTTTTTGTTATTAGAGAAATAAAAACTCAAAACAAAATTAAATTTTTGTTTCCAAAAAGTAAAATACAACAAGTAAATTCTTTAGATAGTAATAATAAAATATTTCTACGAAATTCAGAGGGTTCAGGTATCTTTAATCTTGTTTCTTAAAAATTTGAAGTTTTTTATGAATTATTTAGATAATCTGCAATTTCTTCAGATGGATAGTTAATGGCTTGTAATTATCTATCCTATGGAGATGACTATTCATAATGTTACTAATTTAAATTTTATGATATTCAAAATAACAAAGACTTGACTGTTATTAATGATAATTAGATATTCCCAATCAAAATTTCTAAGAGAGGCAATTTGTTGCATTACTATAAAGAATTTAACTAAGCAATTGTAAGTTCTTTTGATGAAAATAAATAACTTAAACATCTCTGTTCTTTCCAGGGTGGTTCAAATGTGGATGAAGTATCAGTAACACCTTCTTTTGGTTATATAACTGTTAAGTAATCAAAGAGACTCAAATTAATGAATTTGAATTGGATGTCATAAACCGAAATAGTAAGTATAAATTAATCGAATGAAAATGGCAAAATTAATTATTCTTTGGTAATTTCTCATGATAATTCATAAATTATTTCTGGGTAATCTTCAGATATTAAGACATATAGATTTGATTTAGATATTAAAAAAAATATTCACAAAATTGTTGGAGGGATAATAAATTGTATAGCACAAATTGACTAAAATTTTGTAAGTATCGGTTGTGATAAAAGGTTATATTTGATTTGTCTTCATAAATATAAGGATACACTACTAGGAGAACATAATAAAGATATTACATGCCTCAACTATTCATAGAAAACATCATTACTAGCATCTGGTAGTAGAGATTAAAAGATATTTTTGTGGAATGTGAATGCTAAAAAGAAAATAGCAGTATTTGAAGGTCATACAGCAGATGTTAACTAATTATCTTTTTCGCCTGATGGATAGTGTTTAGCCTCTGCAAGTGATGACAACTTAATTAAATTATGGAATATTGAATTGAGTGAATAATCAAATATATCAAAAGGACATTAACTATGTGTTAACTAAGTTGCCTTCTCAAATGATGGTCTTATTATTGCATCATGTAGTAAGGATCACTCAATTATCTTATGGGATTTATTAGAAAAAACCTTTATTATTATGCTCGAAGAACATACGGCAGATGTACTATGTTTAGGATTCTCTTTTTGTTCAAAATGGTTGGCATCAGGAAGCTCTGATGGATCAATATGTTTTTGGGATGTGAAGTTTCCATAAGAGACAACTTTGCACTATAAAATAAATGAGCTGTATTTATATTCAAATTTCTTATGTTTTTCTCCATCAGGTTGTTTTGCTACTATTTCAAGTGATGGAGGCAAATAAAACTATGATAAATCAAAAATAGTTACTAAAATATAAATTTGGAGTTTGAATAAAATAGATAAAAAAGATAAAAATTTTGAAATCTCTAAATATGGAATCAATCCCATTTGTATTTCAGATGATGATGATATTATATTTTAAGGCTATGATAATTTAGTATTGGTTCATAATTTATCAACTGACTAAAGTGAAAATCTTGAAGGACACTAATCTGAAATTGTAATAATTAGATCCTGGGATTATGGCCGACAATTATTATCAATAGATAAACAAAACAATATGATTATTTGGCAAAAAACAAATAATAGTTGGAAAAAGTAATCCAAAACTTTATTAGAACCATGTATTGTTTAATTTGATATTATTAAATTTGATAACCAAGATTGGTTGGTTTCGATAAATAGTAATGCAATTATCATATCAAATCTCAATTAAATGTAAAAATAGTTGCCCTTTGTTGATATACAAATCGAATTCGAGCGTAGTTATTTATCAAACAGTTAAAAATAATTTATATTAATGGGCTAAGATTAAATAACATTAATGGATAGCGTTTCTGGAGAAATAAAATCCGAATTCAAGAATCTAAACAATCTCCAAAAGTCAATTATATCATATGATGATAGATTTTTAGCTATATTATAAGGATAAAGACATATAATCATTATCGTTGATATTTCTAAAAAATAAGAAGATGTGAATTTAGATATTGAAGAAAAACTTAAGTTTTTTGAATTTAGCAGGGATGATTCAAATATTCTATTTACGGCTTCAGAAAGTTGCATGATATTGAAATGGAACATAAAAAATAAATAAAAAGAAACTGTTACTAAATTAGACTTTTAATAGTTAGATTACTTTTTATAGTTTTCTAAGACATGCAATTTTATAGTTTATTCTCCTGATAATACGGAAATTTTCTTAGCCAATCTCAAAAATTAATAAAAGTAATAAATTTATACTGAAAGTTTCACTGGAATTTCAGCATTTTCTTAAAATGAAATTTTAGTAGCTTTGGCTACCAAAAATTACAAAATTTATTTATGGAATTATGAGAAATCAATTTCTACAGAAACTACTTTGATTCAAAAACAATTAACACAACATCTATAATTTATAAATGATGACACTGAACTGGTTTGCTGTTAAAAAGAAACTATTTGTATTTTTTCTGTTTAGGAAGATTTTTCATTAAAATTAAAAAATATTTGGTAGATAGGAAATTGTGATAGATATACTTTCTGTCCTATGCATTTATCAGTTTTAATCTATATTTAATATGGAAAATAAAGGGTTTTCTTTTTGAATCCTGGGTAAAGTAAGATTTTAATAGATGAACAATATCAGCCTTTACGGTTTTGCTCAACTTACGATGGAGACTATATTGTATAATTAAATTAATACGGCTTTATCATATGGGACATTTAAAAAGAAAAGCAAATATTAAATACTGATAAATGGTCTGGAAATAATGCAATGCTTATAGAATTAAAGACATTGGTAATAGGAAATCAGAAGGAAATCTATATTTTAGATATCAAAGAACTAAATAATATTAAATTACTATAAAAAATTTTTTAAGGTTAACCTATGAGAAGTCTTTCGTTCTCTTCAAAAAAACAATATTTTGTTTGTGGATTTGATAAAAAAATAAAGGTATGGAAATTTGCAAAGGATGGATAATGGTAATAAATATCTATTTATGATATATAATATACTGGCAAAGCAAATCCTCTTATTTCAGCAAATGGAAATTTTTTTGTTTACAATGCACAAGAATCATACTAATTAATTAGGATTAAATAATTACATACAATAGAGTTAAACGATAAAAGTGTAATTGGTCTTTAGTATTCATCAGATTTCTAAAATTTAATTACACTAATAAATGGGCGTCCTACACTGCTTACCCCTACCTTAGATATGATAGAAGTTCAATTAGAAAGAGTCATAGAAGATAATGAAGCCAAATCAATTGTATCAGCCTCTGTGGATTCAATATTTGCTATTTTATATGATGCTTTCATATTAATAGTTAAGATTATAGATTAAAGGAAATTAATTGTGATTAAGTAGATATCATCAGAAAATTTAAAGAATTGTGTTACTTTCGGTATCAATCCTTTCGGAACTTAATTAATTGTTGGCAGCGTATCTGGATCAATTTATTTCTGGGATTTAACAGACTCTGATGATGAAGAGTTTAATAAATTTGAACAACATTTGAAAATAGAAAATTAAAATAATTAATTGAATAGTTTTACTTTCAGTCCTAATGGAACTGATTTTGCAGCAGCAATTTTTGATGGATCTATAAATTTATATTCAATTGAATAAATTAAGAATGATTTAAATTTAAAACAAAATGATGAAAATTAAGAATAGAGTTAAATTTAAGTAGCTGAAAATATAAAAAAAGAATTCAGATTAATTTGTTATAAATCATTTTCCAGATAATCTTTGTTATTAGCCAATTAAAGCATAATAAAAGCTTCAAAAATCACTTAAAATGGAAAATCAATCATTTAACTATTCAGATAAAAAGGAGCAAGGGAATGATATAAATATTATTAAAAATATATAAAATAATATATAATTTATATAAATATACATCATAATATGAATTTGATTATGTGGAAATATTTGATTTTATTATTGCTAAATTTTAACCATTAATTAGATATGACATAAACCTATATTTATTGTTTTGTTTACATTCTATGCAATCAAATTAAGATTTATACTCATTTTATAATTTTAAATTCTGATAGCAAACAATTTTAAACTTAAAAGAATAACAAAGCATACAGAAATGATTGACATGTTATTCTAAGCTTTAAAAGGCTTTCTATTATATGTATCATATATTGATAGTCATAATTCTTAAAAGCAAATCTACTAAAAGAATATGATTCAATTTAAGAGGTGGAGGATGTGGGTAATCTAAAGTAGAGTGTATTATTAAAAAGAAAGTAAAGGCAGAATAAAATTTAATGATTTCATCATAATTACCTGACAACAAATCTGAGGGATGCTCTCAAACCCAATAGCAGAAGAGCTAAATTAAAAGGAGACCCTACAAAAAGAGATGAACTATTATCAAGTTTTAATGGTTATCCATATCAGAGAACATTTAAACTATTATTGTATAGATCAAAAAGTAACTGGTAAAATTTATGAGTTAGTATAAGAAAATTTTTATAATGTTTTAAAGTGCTTGCAACTTATTTATGAATTTCTGCATTTTGCTATTATTATAATTTTTAATAAATTATTAAGGATTATGATTGTATTCTAATTAAACAATCCTAAAAGATACTTTGAAGTTTCAGTATAATAGGATTATTTATTGAAGTTATCAGAATTTCAACTCTTAATCAGAAATCGAATAAGCAAATGTTTAGAAGCTTGAGTTTGAATTAGAAGTTACAATAATGAAAATTATGATAATGAATTCATAAACTAATGCAACTGTAGGAACAGATTTTTAATTGATTTTTAAGGAAACAGGTAATTAAATTGTATCATGTTCTCCAACAGATAATCTACTTTCCACAATTATAATTGGAGGTCGATATCTATTAAATAAAGAATTTTAATAAACAATGTACTCGAAAGAAAAATAATAAACATATTACTTATTTCAATTAATAAAATGGTCCTAATAAGGCAATTAAAGTAAAAGTAATCAGTCTACAAATTAAAATATTAACTAAAAGATGTTTTTAATAATATGTATAACATTTGCACAAAAAAAATAATTCAAGGGATATAGGAAATATATAAATTTATATGTAAGTATTTCTAATGAATAAATTTATCCATCTAATGTAGTTATTCTACTAAATCATACTCGCTATTTAGATTTACCTTAAAAGTTTTATAATAAATATAAAATATTATTTAAAATTGGGCAACTAGGAATATTCTTGCATTTACTCTACGAGTTTCTAATAATAGGATCTTGCATTTATTGGGTTTAAATGATTTTGATCTAATTGCTTATTGGCCTATTATTTATAAGTTTATTATTTTGAAAAAGCAATAAAATTAAATAATTGGAATCTTCTTCTTCTTATCGAAAAATGATTTACTATATTATGTTTCTTATGATAAGAATCCAGATATCAAAGTATTCTTTAAAAAATTAATCTATTTAACTTCATATCAAAGAGGTAACAGATTTATTGGAGTAACATGGGCAGAAAAAGTCTTTCTTATTTTTTTAATTTTTTATCTATAGAAACCTACCCAGAAAATTAAGCATGGGGAGTTTATTAAAATTTAACTCAAAAACTAATATAAGAAATTTAAAAGATTATGAAAACATTTTAATATAATATTTTATAAGATACTTTAAAATGATATTCTACAATTATCGTAATTTAAAGCTGCTAAAATTAATATACTTACCCCTTACCTAATTTAAATCTGCTTTCTTAAATTATTAACCAAAACTTAATGTTTAATTCTCTATAATTATTGTTGAAAAAATAACCAACTATGAATTTGAGTAAGAAGTTTATTACCTAATAATTTAACCTTTCTAATAGAATCTTTCATTCTTAACAGTGCCTTTATTTCTAGAAAATAAGAAATTACTCTATAGTTTAGTAATTAAATATAAGTCTTAAAGCAATCCCTAAAGTTTTAATAAAATCTGTTTTATAGAGTATAGATATTTAAAATTATAATTGGTTCTCACAAATAGTAAATATTTTGCAATATAGACTCCTTGGCTTGTAAATTTTGGAGTTATAAAATCTTTAAATGATTCATAACTATGAAGATTTTACTGGAGAAATCGGAAATACTAGTTATCGCAAGTATGAATAAATTGTAATTTTTTAAATTAATAAAATAGAGAAACATTGTAAAAATTAAAGAAATTAAATTCTATAACAAATAATCGATATGGCTATCTAAGTTAAAGATTACTTCAATAAAATTGATAAGTTTGTTGACAATTTACCTAAGGAAGTTTATAATTCCAAAGCTAAAGCATTTTTCTCATAGATGGTAATTATTCTGCTTTAATCATCAAACATAATTGATGTCATGAATAGTAAAATATCATCTTATAAAAATGCATATAATTAAANTTAAAAGTTTTATAATAAATATAAAATATTATTTAAAATTGGGCAACTAGGAATATTCTTGCATTTACTCTACGAGTTTCTAATAATAGGATCTTGCATTTATTGGGTTTAAATGATTTTGATCTAATTGCTTATTGGCCTATTATTTATAAGTTTATTATTTTGAAAAAGCAATAAAATTAAATAATTGGAATCTTCTTCTTCTTATCGAAAAATGATTTACTATATTATGTTTCTTATGATAAGAATCCAGATATCAAAGTATTCTTTAAAAAATTAATCTATTTAACTTCATATCAAAGAGGTAACAGATTTATTGGAGTAACATGGGCAGAAAAAGTCTTTCTTATTTTTTTAATTTTTTATCTATAGAAACCTACCCAGAAAATTAAGCATGGGGAGTTTATTAAAATTTAACTCAAAAACTAATATAAGAAATTTAAAAGATTATGAAAACATTTTAATATAATATTTTATAAGATACTTTAAAATGATATTCTACAATTATCGTAATTTAAAGCTGCTAAAATTAATATACTTACCCCTTACCTAATTTAAATCTGCTTTCTTAAATTATTAACCAAAACTTAATGTTTAATTCTCTATAATTATTGTTGAAAAAATAACCAACTATGAATTTGAGTAAGAAGTTTATTACCTAATAATTTAACCTTTCTAATAGAATCTTTCATTCTTAACAGTGCCTTTATTTCTAGAAAATAAGAAATTACTCTATAGTTTAGTAATTAAATATAAGTCTTAAAGCAATCCCTAAAGTTTTAATAAAATCTGTTTTATAGAGTATAGATATTTAAAATTATAATTGGTTCTCACAAATAGTAAATATTTTGCAATATAGACTCCTTGGCTTGTAAATTTTGGAGTTATAAAATCTTTAAATGATTCATAACTATGAAGATTTTACTGGAGAAATCGGAAATACTAGTTATCGCAAGTATGAATAAATTGTAATTTTTTAAATTAATAAAATAGAGAAACATTGTAAAAATTAAAGAAATTAAATTCTATAACAAATAATCGATATGGCTATCTAAGTTAAAGATTACTTCAATAAAATTGATAAGTTTGTTGACAATTTACCTAAGGAAGTTTATAATTCCAAAGCTAAAGCATTTTTCTCATAGATGGTAATTATTCTGCTTTAATCATCAAACATAATTGATGTCATGAATAGTAAAATATCATCTTATAAAAATGCATATAATTAAACTAGGAAAATAAACTAAGGTTAGATATTCTATTCAAATTAGTCTATTTAAAATTTTGATTCAATAAGTTCCTAATAAGTTAAAGAAATGAAAATAGATTTTCAAGCCATTCAATCTGAATTTTCATAAAATCAGAAATATTTGGCCTTGGTACATTCTATCAGCATGTAAACTGTTGCTTTAGGAGTTGAAAGTAATGTTAGCTCTATCGCTGAAATCACCAAAAAAAAAAGGCCCTTTCTATTAATAGAAGACTAAAATGAATTAGATTTCATAAATTCAATTGCTTTAAGAAAAGTAGAACAGTCTGAATAAATTTGCAAAATAAACGAAGAAGTAAAAGTTCTTAAGGTTTTGTTTAGACAAAATTAAATTTTTAGAAGGTCCTTCGGATGACTTTGTTAACTTATATTCTATTGCTGCTAAATAAAAAATTTTGTTAAAAAGTAGTTGAAATTAAATGAGGATATCACCAAATTTAAATATTTTGTTATAAATAAGTTGCCAAGTAATCATTATTGATTTCTAAAATTAACAAATATTCTTCTCAATGAATAAATTGTAAATTAAGCCAGCTGATTTTGGTTTACCAATGTCTCTAAGCAGTGCTAAGCATATGTAAAAATATTGTAGGATGCATATAACTATAACTACAGAAATGCTAAAGTAAAATAATTCTATTAAAATATAATTAGAAAATCAAATTTTTATAAACATAAATGTGATATATAGTCTTTTTGGGATTAATCTCCATTTTTGGCTTACAAAGGATTGCTAAGTCATTTTAAGGAAGCTTTTATTGGAAGATCCTAAAAATAATGAGTTTCAAAGATCTATTGAAATCTGTGGTTGTATTCGGAATAGTTTGAACTTGGAAAGTCTGTTTTGAAAGTTAATATTCCATATAATTAAGATTTTATAAGAGATCTGTACGATTCTATAGATTAGTACGAATAACAATTAAATCAAGTTGAGTATATTCATCTATTGAAAATAAATATAAAAATCTAATAAACCATTATTTGAGATTAAAGAATATTTTAAATGAAGAATTTTCCACTACTTTTAATCTTAAAATCTAATTTAGGAATTGATTAGCTTTTAGATTTGTCATTAATAGGAAGTTCAATTTTAGGATTATACTCTCACTTTTTTTGATCAAGACTTATCAATAGAAAAAATGTGGAAAATTGCTCTATGTTATAATTTTTTGATTAATAAGAAAATGATAAAAAAATTTAAATTCTGATTTGTAGATTTTAACAGAATGCAAAATAGTAAGATATAAAAATAGATAATATGTATTCTATATATAATGAATATATAAATCTATTATAATATTTATAGATATTAAATTCAATATCCGATTCAACAACATGGTCCTTGCTTTTCTTCAGTTTCGGGTTGTGGTTATAATTATTGAGTATTATTAATAAATGATTTTTTGACTCCTTGTTCAGTCCCAACTTTGATTCCATGACTTTCATTTTTTGGGTCAATTTGGTTGCTATTAATTTTTTCCAAAATTTGTTAGGCTGTCTTAAGGAATACTTCTTCGACATTATTGGCTGTCTTGGCACTCACTTCCACAAAATCAATGCCATTATTTCTTGCAAACTCTTGACCTTCTTCGAAAGACACTTATCGACTAATGATTAGGAATATTCAATGTACTCTGCTTCCAAATCACTCTTGTTGCCAACAAGAGTAAATGTCAATTTTGGATTTCCATTTTATTTAGCTTCCTCCAACCATCGAGAAATGTTTTCGAAAGTCTCTCTCTTAGTAATATCATACACTATGATTGCACCAGCAGCAGATCGATAATAAGAACGAGTGATTGATCTGAAAGATTCTTACCCTGCCTATAAAAATATGGAGTTTGAGAGTACCGTGTCCCAAATTTGTAATTTTATGTTCTATCCATCGAACTCTATCATTCTTGCACCAAATTCCACACCAATGGTAACCTCATGCTTCTGTCTGAATCTCTTATCTATGAATTGCAAAAGAAGACAAGATTTCCCAACACCTTAAATCGAATGCATAACACACATACCTGTATCACCAATCAATATAAATTTAAAGAGGTAGCTATATGACATAATAAATTAAATTATGAAACCTAAACCAAAAATTGAAACTAATAATACAATTGATTAATTATCAAGGACAACTCAAAATCTCAATTCTTATCAATAAGATCTCCTCAATTCAGTTCGGAGCATCAATTCAAAGTCCAATTCCAACCCCAGTATTTTTGGGAAAGAAGTTCTCAAACAGAAGTACACTTAAGACTCTCCCTTTAAAAGGAAGCAATACAAAAATATGGAAATAGCTACCGCATTGCAAAAGCAGAATCAGATTATCCTATCAAAATACTATAAACCTTAGAACAACTCTTCAAAAAGTTAATAAACTTTGTTGCTAAATCACCTTGTCGCCAAAATAAATCCAAGTAACGAAATCAATATGTTCAAACAATCTTAACCATCCTCAATTGATTCTAGACCCCTTACATCCCAAATCAATTAGACAAACTCGGCGTAAAACAGAAGGTAGGAATCAATTGGATTGAAATATCAAAATATTTATGATGGAATATATCAGAAACCAAAGAAAGTACACTCACACTAGATATCTCCAGTTCATTCAAGGCAACTATCCTTATAGCAATCCTAATCAATAACTAATAGAGTATAAAAATATTTTGAAAGCATTAAATTTAACAAAGAAGATGTCTAATTTTAGTACTACTTAGGAAAAATCAAGTAAGTGTTTACTCAGCCTCGTAAGGATGATTATTTTAGCTCTCTCTACAGAGAACATTTCTTTTAAACATATCAAGGGATTTATGCTGCATCCCATCTAAGAATAGCGGATCCAAATGATTTCAAAAAGAAAGCAATCAAAATTAAACGGAAAGAATAACATACAGGTATTAAGAATTTGTAAATTAGATAAAATATCTGTGATCTTTGATTTGGATGAAACTTTAGTTCATTGCAATGAGTCTATATTATAGAAATCTGATTTTCTTTTGAACATCAAGATGAGTCCCAATTTAGTGGTTAAAGCTGGAGTCAACATACGACCAGGAGCAATAGAATTATTGGAATCTTTGGTGGAACACTTTGAGATTATAGTTTTCACTGCATCACATTAATGTTATGCCAAACAAGTATTGGATTATTTAGATCCAGAAAATAAATTGATTTCACATAGATTGTTTAGAGATAGTTGCAGTTAAACAACAGGAACTATGTACACTAAAGATTTGAGAATATTTGACAGGCCACTAAGTCAAATCGTTTTAGTTGATAATGCATCTTACAATTATGCTTGGTAATTGGATAATGGAATACCTATTGTTCCATTTTATGATAACAAGGATGACCGAGAACTTTGGGGGTTATAGACTTATTTGATGGGAATGCGTGGGGTTTCAGATGTTAGAGAGTACAATAGGTAATAGTGATGTCAACTTTATTTTTAGAAACAAATTGAAATTAAATCAATTCTATGATGCTTCTAGTGCTGCCTGTGTTTTTGAAAAGCTTTTTCAATAAAAAATGGAAATATGATTTTAGTACATTTCTTATTTAATTTTATAATCTAATGCAATAAACAACTGATTATGATGAAATGCAGCATTATCTCAAACTGGCTTAGGATGGGGACACTGAGGCTTAATTCAAAGTAGGTTTAATGTATGAGGATGGGAAGGGGGCACAATAAAATATTCAAGAATGCATTCAATGGTATTTTCAATATATTTTTATTCCAGGTATCAATTGGCTGCCAATAAACATGCTTAAGCAGCATATAATTTGGCTTCCATTTATTATTTAGGCAGAGTTGTTGCTCCTGATTATAAAATTGCATACAAATACTTTAGCAAGGCTGCTGAACTATAAAATGAATAAGGAATGTTCCAACTAGGCTTGATGCATTTATTTGGATAAGGTGTAGAACAGGATTTTGAGAAGAGTAGAAGTTGGTTTGAAAGAGCTGCTAAATTAGTACTTATTCATTTTTAATTACTTTTCAAGGGATCAGTATCAGCAATGAACAACCTTGGCAACATTTATAGATCCGGCATTGGAACTCATATTCAAATTGAGGAGGCCAAGAAATATTATCGGATGGCAGCAGATAAGGGCGATTTATGTGCTATGACCAACTTGGCTACAGTCCTATTGCAAAGTAATCCAACTGAAGCCTTTGATTGGTACCTCCAGGCAGCCAAAGGTGGCTTTGAAAATGCTTAGTATAATCTGGCTGTGCTTTACGAAGAAGGAACTGGAACCAAATTGAATTTATAATAGGCACTATACTGGTATAAATAAGCAGCACAGGCTGGTAACATTGAAGCAAAAGAAGCAGTGACTCGTTTAAGTCCTATAGTTCAAAATTAACAATAAAATGACAAATAATAGTAAGGTTAGAATACATAATAATCGTCTGCCAAAAAAGGTGGGTGTGGCTGTTTTGTATTTTGATATTATCACTATTTATTATATATATAAATTAATAATGGATAATGTTGAGGTGGAAGTCAAGAAACAATTGAACTATTTGAGTAAGTCTGCAGAATTATCTTTCAGAATCACCAGCCAATCCTAAGGATTTCCCAAAAATTATGGATATTTACAAAAACCCAATTCAGAGAATATTAAAATTAAATTTTTATCCATTACTCAAGACCTTCCCCTCGTCTGAACTTATTTGTTTAGAATTAGAGAAGGATTTTAGCAATTAAGATTATGAAATTCAATTACAATCCCTCAAATTAACATATTCCATACCATTTAGCAATTTAATTCAAATTTTTAATTCCTGCGAAACAGCATTTTATTACATTATTGAATAGTAGAATCCAAACAATTAATAGGTTATCTGATTTTCATTTGAAAGATTGTGTGCTGTCAATTCCATATTGCAATTGCTACTCACAAAAGAAACAAAAGTAGATTCAATAGAAATGCCAAAACTAAAAATAACTAATATTTACTTGAGAGTTGCTGAAAATTGTTTTTCCAACAACAGAGACATCTCAGCCAATTACATAAAAAGTTTATCGAAATATTTATAAAGTAAATTGCAGAATCCCAATTACCTTACCTCAGTCAATTATGATACCGAACAAATTAAACAATCTTTATTGCTTAGAATTCAACTCCTATATGAAAAATATGATGAAGTTCGTATTAGATCTAAAATGCTATTTCTAGTATCTTAAGTCTTGCTTGATTCTCTAAATAGGTGCAGCACTGTTCAATAAAACCAAAATAAACTAATCTATAAACTAAACCCTCATGGATTTCATTAATAAAATTATCAAAGCTAAGCTTGTATGATATTCTGTAATATAATTTTGAAATGGACATTATAATACAAATTTTCAACTTCCTAATCAATTTTATTCCTTAATATAAATCTTCTGGTTACTTTAATGCGAGCCAGTTTGTGTTGTAGCTTTATGATTGCATCGAAAAATATATAAAGAAGGTCAATTATAAAAAGAATTCAATCAGATATTGCTCTAAATTCTGTAATTAGATATGGATTTGAATACAAATATAGCTACATCCATACAAATTATAGGAATATCTTTCCTTATTAAAACTAATTGAGTCGGCTTTTGTTTCTCCTCTATTACTTCGATAATTTAAACCAAAAATCAATCGAATTACTTTATCAAAAAGACTAGTGCCATCTTAAGACTGTACAATTAGACTTGGTTCCTAACTAAAATAAAGGATGAACCTGAAGAACTAATTTGTTGCCTAATTATTGCAGCAATCCATTAAGAAACTAATAAATTGATACTATTGGAAATTAAGGAAATTTGTAATGCTTTCATTTGGAATGGTTGCAACATTGAAGCCATTATTATGTAAAAATTACTGATTTAAGAATGTATCAAGGTCATACCCTCTGATGAAATTTGGTTAAACGATTTAATTAACAGAATGAACACTAATTAAATCAGCTTCAATCAGAAGGTTTAGACTCTCTTAATAATAACAAGAAAATTCAATGAGAGTAGTCTGAATTGTAAAATTAGATTATATCAATATCTTGGCAGAGTTTAGAACCTTCATGATATAACCAGTGTAAACCTAAATTTTTCAGCTTAATCTCTTACAAAATGTCTTTGAGATTATTATAATTTATCAATCAATTTTCATACACCTGAAAATCATATCAAGTAATAGATTTCTGGAATTACTTTCAGATTATAATGATAATTTACAATAAAGGAAAAATGATCACATTGCTCAACAATTGAATGAATACAATCGAAATTCTGTTAAATCACTTTAATACAAAGAATCCCTACAACAGGATCAATTATAAATCAAAATTAATAATTAAATTGATTCAATCAATCACAATTTTCAAAATCTAACAACCTATCAAATAGCTTACATTATATTTCAGTATAAGTCATTTCCATCTGAATGAAGCACACTTATAATGAATTTAAGATCAATGCAATTACCTTAAAAAAATTTTTACTGAACTTCAATTAAGTTCCAAATTAATTACTGGAATAAGCGATTTTGTTTAAATTTGTTGTTCCCATACATAGGATTTTAAAAGTCCTGTATTTGTTTAGGATTTAGAGTCATCACAATTCCTCATTTAAATTAGATAATTTAGGAATAAGAATATTATTGGATAGAAATTCTTATATCTAGAATAAAATTACAAATTAATAGAGGAGTTACCCTTTTATAAAGGAAAACGATTATTTTATGTTGTTAAGGTAATTTGAAAACCATCAATGCATTTTGGTTTTGACATAATCCTGTAAGACATTAAGAATGAATCTTCGCAATCCTTGCTATCAGAATTTAAAATTATAAAATGAGTATAAATCTTAATTTGATTGAATAGAATGTAAACAAAACAATAAATATCGGTTTATGTCATATCTAATTAATGGTTAAAATTTAGCAATAATAAAATCAATATTTCCACATAATCAAATTCATATTATGATGTATGTTTATATAAATTATATATTATTTTATATATTTTAAATAATATTTATATCATTCCCTTGCTCCTTTTTATCTGAATAGTTAAATGATTGATTTTCCATTTTAAGTGATTTTTGAATCTTTTACTATGCTTTAATTGGCTAATAACAAAGATTATCTGGAAAATGATTTATAACAAATTAATCTGAATTCTTTTTTTATATTTTCAGCTACTTAAATTTAACTCTATTCTTAATTTTCATCATTTTGTTTTATATTTTAATCATTCTTAATTTATTCAATTGAATATAAATTTATAGATCCATCAAAAACCCCTGCTGCAAAATCAGTTCCATTTGGACTGAAAGTAAAACAACAAACTTAATCATTTTAATTTTCTATTTTCAAATGTTGTTCAAATTTATTTAACTCTTCATCATCAGAGTTTGTTAAATCCCAGAAATAAATTGATCCAGATACGCTGCCAACAATTAATTAAGTTCCGAAAGGATTGATACTGATAGTAACACAATCTCGGAAACTTTCTGATGATATCTACCTAATCACAATTAATTTCTTTTAATCTATAATTTTAACTATTAATATGAAGGTTAAGTAGAAAATAGCTAATATTGTATCCACAGATGCTGATACAATAACATCTGCCGAATTATCATTTATGACACTATTATATTAGCTCTCTATGATGTCCAAAGTATGAGTAAACAATACAGGACTCCCATTTATTAGTGTAATTAAATTTTAGAAATCTGATGAATATTAAAGACCAATTACACTTTTATCGTTTAACTCTATTGTATGTAATTATTTAATCCTAATTAATTAATATGATTCTTCTGCATTGTAAACTAAAAGGTTCCCATATGCAGAAATAACGGGATTTGTTCTGCCAAATAATTATATATCATAAATAGCTATTTATTAAAATTATCCATTATTTAAAAGGTTCCATACCTTTATTTTTTTCTCAAATCCACAAACAAAATATTCTTTTTTTTTTGAAGAAAATGAAATACTTTTGAAAGGTTCTTCGAAAGAAACCGATGAAAGTAATTTAATATTATGCAATTCTTGAATATCTAAAATATTGATTTTCTCCTCATTTCCTATTACCAATATCTTTAAATCAATAAGCATAACATAATTTCCAGACCATTAATCTGTATTTAATATTTACTTTTCGTTTTAAATGTCCCATATGATAAAGCCTTATTTATTTAATTATACAATATAATTTCCCATGTAAGTTGAGTAAAATTCTAATGGCTGTTATTGTTCATCTATTAAAATCTTACTTTATCCAGGATTTAAAAAGCTGATCCTTTTATATCCATTCCAACCACCATTATAACATAAAACTGATAAATTTTTAGGACAGAAAGTATAATTGTAACAAGTTTCTATCTACCAAATATTTTGTAATTTGAATTGAAAATCATCTTAAACAGAAAAAATACAAATTGTTTCTTTTTAACTACAAACAAGTTCAGTGTCATCTTTTATAAATAATAAATTTTGAGTTGGTTGTTTTGTAGACAAAGTAATTTCTGTAGTAATTGATTTCTCATAATTCCATAACTAAATTGTATAATCACTAGTAGCCAAAGCTATTAAAATTTCATTTTAAGAAATTGCTGCAATACCATTCAAATTTTAAATATCTTTAGAATACTGTTATTAATTATTGAGATTGATTAACAAAAGATGCATTTTATTTTTATAATAGACTATTAAATTGCATGGCTTAGAAATCTATAAAATATCATCATTATAATAAGAAAAGTCGTCTAATTTAACAATAATTTCGTTTTATTTATTTTATATGTTCCACTTCATAATATTGCCACTTAAAGATGCTGTATATAGAATATTTGAATTATTCTTGCTAAATTAAAAAGATTTAGGATGTTCTTCAATCTCTAAGTTCACATCTTCTTACTATTAAGAGATGTCAACGATAGCAATCTTTGATCCATATCTTTCTTAAATAGCTAAAAATCTATCATCATTTGATGTAATTGAATGTTCTAAGTTGTTAAGATCCTTTTTTTAAAATTTAATTTCTCTAGAAAAGCTATCGATTACTGTTATTTAATCTCCACTCATTAATATAAATAATTATTAACTGGTTGATAGATAACTGCTCTCAAATTATATATCTAAATCAATAGAAGGCAACTTTTCTTACATTTACTTAAGATTTGATATGATAATAGCATTACTATTTATTGATACAAAGCAATCTTGATATTGATAATAAATTATATCAAATTTAACAGTAGCTGGTTCTAATAAAGTTTGTAATTGCTTTTTCCAACTATTATTTATTTTTTACCAAATAATCATATTATCTTTATTATCTATAGATAATAATTGTCGACCATAATCCCATGATTTAATAATTACAACTTCAGACTAATGTCCTTCAAGACTTTCACTTTAGTCGGTTGATAAATTATGAACCCTTACTATATTATCATAACCTTAAAATATCGTATCCTCATCATCTGATATACAAATTGGATTGGTTCTATACCTTTATTTTTCAAATTTTTTATCCTTTTTATCTATTTTACCCAAACTCCAAACTTAAATTTTGGTAACTATTTTTGATTCATCATTATTTTATAAGCCTCTATCATTTGAAATAGTAGCAAAACAACCTGATGGAGAAAAGCATAAGAAATTTGAACATAAATATAGCTCATTTATTTTATAGTGCAAAGAAGTCTCTTATGGAAACATCACATCCCACAAACATAATGATCCATCATAGCTTCCTGATGCCAACCATTTAGAACAAAAAGAGAATCCTAAACATAGTATATCTGCAGTATGTTCTTCTAGCATAATAATAAAGTTTTTTTCTAATAAATCCCATAAGATAATTGAGTGATCTTTACTACATGATGCAATAATAAGACCATCATTTGAGAAAGCCACTTGGTTGACACATAGTTAATGTCCATTTGATATATTTGATTATTCACCTTAATCAATATTCCATAGTTTAATTTATTTGTCATTACTTGCAGAGGCCAAACATTTTCCATCAGGCGAAAAAGATAATTAATTAATCTCCCCTGTATGGCCTTCTAATACTGCTATTTTCTTTTAAGCATTCATATTCCACAAAAATATCTTCTAATCTCTACTACCAGATGCTAGTAATGACTTTTTCTATGAGTAACTGAGACTTGTAACATCATTATCATGCTCCCCTAGCATTATATCCTCATATTTATTAAGATTAATCAGATAGATCTTCTTATCACAACCAATACTAATATTATCTACATCAATTAATGCTAAACAATTTATTTTTCCAGAAAAACTTCTCTAAACATTTGATTTTGAATTAACTTCTAGATTATATGACTTAATTTATGAAGAATATCCTGAAATAATGCGTGAATTATCAGAAGATATTACAAAAGAATATTTATTTTCACTCTTTTCATTCGATTAATTTATACTTACTATTTAGGCTTATGACATCCAATTCAAATTCATTAATTTGAGTCTCTTTGATTCCTTAACAGTTATATAATTAAATGAAGGTGTTACTGATACTTCATCTACATTGGATCCACACTGGAAAGAACAGAGAAGTTTTAGTTATTTATTTTCTTCAATAGAACTTACTATTGCTTATTTATCCTCTTTGTAGTAATGTAATAAATCGCCGTTCTTAGAAAATTTGATTGGGTACATTTTATTATCAGTAGAAACTGGAAAATCTTTATTATTTTGAATGTCCTAAAATTTAAATTTCTAACTTTAATAGTAATTGTATCTATTATCATCATAATTGCAAGCTATTAATTATCCATCATAAGAAATGGCAGATTCTCTAAATAATTCATAAAACACTTCAAATGTTTAAGAAATAAGGTCAAAGATACCTGAACCCTTAGTATTTCGAATAAACATTTTATGATTACTATCAAAAGTATTTACTTGAAGTATTTTGTGCTTTGGAAACATAAACTTATTTTTTTATTGGATTTTAATTTCTCTAATTACAAAGTCAGAATTTGACCTGTAACATATATAATCATTGTTGCTTGTCCAAGAAAATTATGATAAAGCTTAATTTTCATAAGATTAAATCTCATATATGTTTTAGGGATCTTAGATATTGAATATTTTAACAAGATTTTTACATTCTAAAATTAGAACCTAATCGTTTTTACTTAGCTTGAGAGATTAACATTCTTCGCAAATAGTAATATTAAAGATTTCCACTTTTGAATAAATATTCTACTTAATAATATTTGATTGATTTGAAATTACGCAATGTAAACCATCTTAAAAGAATTGTACACACCAAGGATGATAATCGATACTAGATAATAATGTCTACTACTTCCAATCAAAAATTTATAGACCAGAATAATCATTTGTAACAAGCTATCCATTTGTTAAAAATTATGCAAATAGTTTTGAAGTTGGAATTATTCCCTTTAACTTGCATTTTGATAAAGGAATTATTTTTATGACATTTTGCATAAGATACATAAGATTTTGGTCATTATCAATTAACTATAATTAACTGATTTCATTTTGAGTTTGATAAGCATATTTATACGGCTTATAAGCATTAATCATTTCAATTTTATTGTCAAAATATTTCCAAATTCTGATGTAAGTCCCACCAGTCACAAATAAATTACCATTTTTTGAAAAACTAAGACTGTTATATGTTTCCTAAGGTAGTTAATAATTAATAATTATCTCTCTTGAAATGTAATTCCAAAACCTTAATGTTTCATTGCATAAACACAATAAAGATATTCCATCTGGGCAAAATTGAGTTACTAGAGAAGAACAATATTAATATTAATCTTCAATTTTCAAAACACTTTCTTCATTATTGTTTATGTTCC